CTGCACTCCAGTCTGGGTGACAGAGTGAGACTCCAACTCAAAAAAAAAGAAAAGAAAAGGAGAGAGAAGATTCACCTCCCCAAGGTGGGGGAGGGGGGCCAAAGCCAGGAAGCATGGTGACAGCCATAGCTCAAAGAGCTCATGGCCACACCAGAGTCTAGCAAGGCAATGGCCCACAACAGTCTTTAACACCTCATTCCCCTCCTCCCCCTGCCCAAAACCACTCCATCAATATTTTCAAGAAGGCTCTTTCTGATCTCATATTAGGACTGTTTCTTTTTTTTTTGTTTTTGAGTTAGAGTCTCACTCTGTCGCTTAGACTGGAGTGCAGTGGCATGCTCCCGGCCACTGCAGCCTCGACCTGCTGGGTTCCAGCGATCCTTCTGCTCAGCCTTCCAAGTAGCTGGAAGTACAGGCACGCGCTACCATGCCCGTCTAATTTTTTGATTTATTGTAGAGATGAGGTCTCACCAAGTTGCCCAGGCGGGTCTCGAACCCGTGGGCTCAGGTAATCCACTCACCTCAGCCTCCCAAAGCGCGAGATTACAGGCTGAGCCACCGAGCCCAGCTAGGACTGTTTCTGACCTACAAAAATGGAAACTTCATTTGGTTCTACCTAATAACATGCTGTGTATAACATCTTTTACACAGTATCTACAGTGAGAACAGTGGCAGATCACTGTAACCAAAATATACTATTTCTACAGGGAAATCATACCAAGCAGGAGAAACAGACTATGATCAATGCTAATTCGGGTCATGTTTGGCTGCCAATGGCTTATGAAAAAAAGTTTGGTTTTCAGAATTTTTTGGAGTTTGTAATTGCAAAAAAAGGATTGTCAATCTATGTGATTTTAGCAAATGTTTAGTCTATGCTTTCTTGGGGCTAAGGCCTACTGCTTTATGTGTATAATTTTATTTAACTCTCACAACAGACCTGCAAAGTTAGTACTATTATCCCCATTCTTTTTTTTTTTTTTTTTTTGAGTTGGAGTCTCACTCTGTTGCCCAGGCTGGAGTGCTATGGCAAACTCACAGCCACCCCAGCCTTCCAAGTAGCTAGAAATACAGGCGCGCGCTACCACATCTGGCTAATTTTTTCATTTATTGTAGAGACGAGGTCTTACCAAGTTGTCCAGGCTGGTCTTGAGCCCGCAGGCTCAGGCAATCCACTCGCCTCAGCCTCCCAAAGTGCTGGGATTACAGGCTGAGCCACAAAGCCCGGCCTCCATTCTTTTTTTGAGTCGGAGTTTCACTCTGTCGTCCAGGCTGGAGTACAGTGGCACACTCACAGCCACCACAGCCTCACAACCTGGTGGGCTCAGTTGATCCTTCTGCCTCAGCTAATTTTTCTTGATTCATTGTAGAGATGAGATCTTGCCAAGTTGCCCAGGATGGTCTTGAACCCATGGGCTCAGGCAATCCTCTCACCTTGGCCTTCCAAAGTGCTGGGACTATAGGCATGAGCCAATGCGCCCGGCCTATTATGGAGTGTCAAAAGGCAAATAGGAGCTTGAAACAGTAGTCAAAGGGGCTACAAAATTAGTTAGGGTGACAGTGTATCCTCCCTTCCTGCCTGGATGGTTCTGGTTTGGCAGTAATCATGGAGACCTTGATCATGGCCTGATCTTCTGTCCTCTCACCCCTATCCCAGAACTCACTGATTGAAGGTGCGGCCAATGCCCTCGCCGGGTTTCCAGCCCATGCCCCGCAGCATGGCCATTCCATAGTCCTCCACAGGGACTGCCTCATAATTGGCCTCCTCCGGGACCTATGGGTTTGGGCAGAGGAAGGAGGGTCAGGCTTTGCTTACACTAGGCCCTCTGTTTGAAGCACACTTGCTATCACATACCGGGTGACCCACCATGCTTTTTTTTTCTAGTCAGCTCAAGGCTAAGTTTGATTTCCTATCACCATCCCTCACTTTACTCTTCCATGTTCAGTCCTTCAAAAAATATCTAAAAAGCATCTAACTTGTGGCAAGTACTGTTCTAGGTGCTGGGGATAAAGCAGTGAACAAAACAGACAAAAACCCCTGTCCTTGTGGGGCTTACATTCTAGCTGTAGAAACACAATAAATAAAATACAGAAAACATAATATGTCAGGTGGTGAAAGAAAAATAAAGCAGGCTAAGAGTATGTAGAAGGATGAAGAGGGAGTGCCACTGAGTTGACATTTAAGCAGAGACCAGGAGATGACAGAGAAGGAAGAATGTTCCAAGCAGAGAGAACAGTAAGAATAAAGGCCCTGAGGCAGGACAGGACTTGGTATGTATGAAGGGGATCATGAAAGTCAATATGGCTGAAACAGAGATGTGGAGGCGGAGAATGGTAGGTCAGAGACTAACCAGGAAAGCTGGGCAGGAAACAGAGAACCCTGTGTCAGGTGGGAGCCACAAGAGGGACCAGAAAAGAAGTTACCGCCAGCCGGGCTTGGTGGCTCAGCCTGTAATCCCACGCCTTTGGGAGGCTGAGGTGAGTGGATTGCCTGAGCCCGCGGGTTCGAGACCCGCCTGGGCAGGCGAGACCTCATCTCTACAATAAATCAAAAAATCAGCCAGGCGTGGTAGTGCGTGCCTGTAATTCTGGCTACTTGGAAGGCTGAGGCGGAAGGATCGCCGGAGCCCAGCAGGTCGAGGCTGCGGTGGCCGGGAGCGGCCACTGCACTCCAGTCTGGGCGACAGAGTGAGACTCCAACTCAGAAAAAAAAAAAAAAAAAAGAAGTTACTGCCATAATCTAGATGAGATGCTGGCGGCTCAGCCCAGCGTGGTAGGTGGTAATGGTGAGAAGTGGTCAGATTCTGGGTTATTTTGAATAGAGAGATGATAGGTTTATGCCAACATTGTATATGAGGTTTGAAATAAAGAGGGGAAGGCCAGGCGCGGTAGCTCATGCCTGAGCCTATGGGTTCGAGACCAGGGGCAACTTGGTAAGACCTCATCTCTACAATAAATCAAAAAATTAGCTGGGCATGGTGGTGCATGCCTATAGTTCCTGCTACTTGGAAGGCTGAGGCAGAAGGATCAACTGAGCACAGCAAGTTGAGACTGCAGTGGCCATGAGCGTGCTACTGCACTCCAGTCTAGGCAACAGAATGAGACTCCAACTCAAAAGAAAAAAAGAGAAAGAAATAAAGAGTGGAGTCGAGGATGACTCCAAGGTCCTCAAGATGAGTGAGAGGAAGGATGGATGGAACTCTGGTCAATTGGGTTGTGGAAAGCTTCAGGAGATTTGTAGAGGAAACAGTAGAGAAATGAGGCCAAAGCTGGAATGGGATGAAAGAATGAAAAGTGGAGGTCTTTTTTTCTTTTGTTTATCTTTTTAAAATTTTTTAGAGTCAGAGTCTCACTCTGTCACTCAGGCTAGAGCGCAGTGGCACGCTCACAGCCACCACAGCCTTGACCTGCTGGGCTCAGGAGATCCTTCCACCTCAGTCTTCCAAGTAGCTGGAACTACAGGCACATGCTAACATGCCCAGCTAACTTTTTGATTTATTGTAGAGATGAGGTCTCACCAAGTTGCCCAGGCTGGTCTCAAACCTGTGGGCTCATGCTATCCTCTCACCTCGGCTTCCCAAAGTGCTGGGATTATAGGCGTGAGCCACTGTGCCCAGGCCTTTTTTTTTTTTGAGTTGGAGTCTCACTCGGTTGCCCAGACTGGAGTGCAGTGGCCGC